TGAAGGTTTTTAAAGGTTTTTAAAGGTTTTTGAAGGTTTTGAAGGTTTTTAAGGATTATTTTTGCTGGCCTCCTTTATTTGCGAGAATCGTTGGTTGTGAAGAAGGAAAATAATCTTTTTAAAAATATAATCTGGTGCTGAATGAGTTCCTATGAAGCAGATTGGATGTGAGGATTGAACGTTTCCTCGTTCTCTCCAGCTCAGCGAGGGGCGGAGCCTCAGGTGAGGCTCATGAATATTTAATGAGTTGATTTTCCTCCGGGTTTGAGCAGGAAGCTGAAACTAATGTGATTTATCTGAGGCTCTGCTTGTTCCTCTGAAGATATTTAATCCATCCTGACACATTCAACCTAAATATTGGTCTGGGTTCAGTTTCACAGGAAACCGGACCGACCACCATGTTGGTTCTGGACCCACAGAGGAGAAAACGTTCAGTTCATCTTTGCTGCTTCCAACGGAGACATAGGAGGAAAAATGAGCCGCGTCACGTTTATTACTTTCATTAAACCATAAAGAACAACAAATATTTCACCATTTATAGGAGAATAAAACTTTATCTGAGTCATTAATTCGTCCAATCGGAGCTCAGAACGGAGAAGGAAGAAGACAAAACGTTTCGTATTAAAATGAAATGATAAACTTTCACATTTCTAATTTTAATGAGAAAGTTTCTCATCAAACTGAAACAAGTTTTAAAGTTGATTTCTTATGAAATGAAATGAAATTTCTCATTTTTATGAGATTTTCTCTTTTTGCATCTTAAGAAAATTGTCCTGAATTTATGTCCAAGTTTTACAATTAAATATGGAAACATCTAACTGCCAAAAATCGTTCTCATTAAAACAAGAAAGTTTTTCATTTTAGTGTTATTATTAATAAGACGTTTCTGTTTAAATGACACAAACTTCATAATGTTTCAAAACTTCTTGTTTTAACAGGTTTTATCTCATTAAATCGTTAAAATGTTTCTCATCAAGTTTTAGTTTGAACAAGTTTTAGTCTCATTAATGTGAACGTTTGTCGTTAAAGTTTTATGTTTCATTACGATATAAAGCTTTTTGTTTTATTGAAAAACTTTCTCATGTCAACAAGTTTCTGGAAACTTCCTCATGAAATGAGAAAGTTTTGGTTTGAAGTTTTTCTCCTGGTTCTGGTTTTAGTTTCTGTTTGGTTCCAGCTGGACGCAGCTGGATGCAGCTGGACACGTCCAGCGCGTCTCTGCAGGCCCGACGGGACCCGGCAGGTCCACCTGTCCTCAGCGCCGTCTCTTCATGGAGCAGACAGAACCAGAACCAGAACCAGAACCAGAACCAGCTGCGGGCCGAACAAAGCCGCTCCTCTGCTGCTCGGGTTGGTTAAAAGTTTCCGGGTCGAGGTGGGATCGTTCTGGTCCTGTGTTTTAAAGCTTTGTGGTTTTCCATCTGCAGAGTCGAATGAAACTACAATGAGCCTTTCTGACTGCGGCTCCATTCGCTTCACAACATCTTTATTTTTAACAAACAGCATCAGAAAACAGAGTAAAACAACATGACTGAGGAGGAGAGGACACGCCAAGCAGTGTGTGTGTGTGTGTGTGTGTGTGTGTGTGTGTGTGTGTGTGTGTGTGTGTGTGTGTGTGTGTGTGTGTGTGTGGAGGTGTGGGTGGAGGGGGTATTAGTCACCAGAAATGGCACAGAGCCGTTCTCTCTCTCAGTAAGTGGGTCACTCCATCTGGAGCAGAATATGGAAAAAACAGCCACATAATATTTTCTACCAAAACGTCTCAGTAGGAAAATAAAGGAGAAAAAAAACACCTGACAGGTTGAGAGAAACATCAGGACCAAGAAAAGCCTGAACCGACACCTGAACGCTCTGACTGCAGAACCTCTGATGTTCTGCAGAACCTCTGGTGTTCTGCAGAACCTCTGCAGAACACCAGAGGTTCTGCAGAGGTTCTGCAGAACTTCGCTCATCAACTCAATTATCAAAATGACGAGAAAATATTTTCTTCTCACATGAACTGATTTCAGTCACAAACACCTGGAGAAAAATCTCCTGCAGAGCAAACAAACAAAGATGGCCGACGATGAAGAAGAAGAGACATTTATCAGCTTGATCCAGTTCATTAGCTAATCTGATTTATCAATAGTATTGATATGTGGATCGATTCACGCTGGGGATCAATGTCGGCCCGAGGTTTGGTTAATAATATTAATTAATACTAATTTACATTTAACTAACGTAAATTAATATTAATATTAGTTCATATAAACTAATTGTCTTGCAGCCAATTAACATGCAGAAGCATCCAGTCCAATTACACTAATTAATGTTAATTAGTATTGATTCATATTAATTAGTATTGATTCATATTAATTAGTATTGATTCATGTTAATTAGTATTGATTCATGTTAATTAGTATTGATTCTGGATCATTAAAGCTTCATTTCTGCTGACTGAAGCTGGTTTTCTGGACAACGGGTCGGTTCTGCTCCGTCAGCGGGTCGGACCGGCGCCGAGCCGCTCGTTGCTCCTTCAGGGCTCAGTTTCTGTCCGACCGCACAGAGGCGGCGTCATCGAAGGATTTCCTTAAACACGGTTATTAAGTTCTGGTTCTGACTCGGTTTGGCTCACAGACACAAACCGTCTTGACCTTTAACCTTTCAAACATTTTCACCAAACTGCTCAGGAACCAAACGGAGTCGCCGCCGCAGCGTTTCGCCGTGTGACGTAGCGCCGCTTCCGCCTCGCAGCCAATCAGCAGGCAGAAGCATCCAGTCAGCGGTGCCCAACATGCGGCTCGGGGCCTTTTGTGGTCCGTTTGGTGTCCCACAGATTCAGTGACAAATTTAACTCTTCATTAATATTTTCTTTTTAATTTCCTTTTAAAACATTCAACAACTTTTTACTTAAAAACAAAAGAAGTTTTTTCCTGGTCGTTTCTGAGAAACTTTTTTCTTTTTGATGCTGAGAAAAACAAAAAACATGAAAAAAGACATGAAAAGTTCAGAAACACTGCGTTCTTCTCCTCTACATGTTAGTAACATTTAAAACATTTCGTATATAATACTTAGAATTTGCCAGGTTTTGTCTCTTTTTTGATAAATCAAAAGCTCAGAGGTGAAGTTTGGAGTTTCCTTCATTTCCTCAGTTTACAGAAAAACTGAACTCAAAGTTTTGTAATCAGGAAACTTCAGATTTCCCTAATTTCTCAACATGAAACCAACTATTTCACAGTTTTACATCAATTTAAACAAAAATCCAGACATGGACATTTACCACATTATTTAACTCAGTTTATCATCAACAAGCGATAAAGTTTATTTAGAAACAACACAGTCGTGACGGGGTTAAACGTTTCATCACAGAAACACAGGACAGCAGAAATCAACAATAAAAACATAATAAATACAAACATTAATCTGATCAAGTTCTGTACATCTGTGCAAAAATATCATCCTCAGGAGGTAAAAAGCCTCGTTCAAGTTTAAAAATATTTGCTCAACCCGTTAGCAGGAAGGTTTTTCTCCGATCCTCCATGTTGTTTCATTACTGATTTCCATTGTTTCTATAATAACTCACAATCTGAACCAAACAGTCCATGAGAGTAAAGGGTTGATTCGGCTGAAACTTGGTGATAAACGGCTTCATCAGAAAACTTCAACTTCAAACTGAGTTTTATTTACATAAAGTATGAAAAAATCATTTCACCACATGAAGCTACCAAACACTGAAATGATTCCAGTCATGAATTTCTGCTTCCTGATTGGTTTTCTTCAGAAGCCGACATATTGATGCTAACGCGCTGTTGATGCTAACGAGCTGTTGATGTTAACGAGCTGTTGATGCTAACGCGCTGTTGACGCTAACGAGTTGTTGATGCTAACGCGCTGTTGATGTTAACGCGCTGTTGATGCTAACAAGCTGTTGATGCTAACGCGCTGCTTCTGTCAGAAACTTGCAACCAAGAATCTGTCAAACATGTCTCATATGTAAATATTAGGGCTGGTGTTTATAGGAAGCAAAAAAGACTCAAACTAAATTTATTGTGTGAAAAAGCCATGTGACTAGCCACATGCTAGTCACAGTTGCTACATGTTAGTTAGCATGTAAGATGTTATTCACGTTGATTCTGTCTTTTTTCTCACTACTTAATGTTTGAAAAGTGACTTAAATTTTCTGTCAAATCAGATGCTGCATCGGTTCTTCTATGCTAAGCTAACGGTTGGTTGTTTTGCCCAATTTAGAAAACCTTTATGCTCTTTGACAGCTAGCTAGCTGCTTCTGTTTACTGCAAGCAGAAACTCCATCCAACCTTTTCATGTCATCAGTCATTCAGTTCTTATGTTTTCTCTAAAATCACTTTTTAAGATTCATACAGATATTTGGTCTTTTTCAGTTTTATAACGTAAACCAATAACAATTCTCCAACTGCTAGCATGCAAATGCTAACGTTTGGAAAACTTGTCAGACAAGTTCTTCTTAATTTTAAATACATTTAAAAATAAAAACAATTTAAACAGTCGGTTCAAGGAAAAGGTGAAACAAATATACCAGTTAGCTTGTAGCTAACTTCATGTCAGCTGCTGCCTGATAGCTACAGGTTAGCCGCTGTAGTTTTTGTCATGTTAACTTCTGTATCAGCTGCAGTTAGCCGCTGAATTTAGCTTCATGCAGGTTTTTGTATTTAAGCTAAACATGTTTAAAATGTGGATTTAAAGACATAAATACAGGAATATATCAATAAGATGACATTTACATTTCATTAAAACCAAAATAAACCAGAACTGCATCAGTTCTTCTTTTTAAAAGAGGAAATGTTCTTTAAAATACGTGAGCGACATTCTGCTCTTGTATTTCTGAATATTACAAATATTTCAGCTAGATAATCAGTTTTCAGCCACAGAGTCCATATAATTCATGTAAACGATGCTAACGCTAACGCTAAGCTGTGAAAAAGTGGAATAAATACGGTTTTACATTAAAGCTCGGAGGAAAACTATTATTTTTGTATTCAAGTAATTGTGCTTTTTTCAGAGCATCATTAAATATCCCTCCAGGATTTTATGATTGCTTTAGTTATTTTTTGTTTTGCAGTCAATAATCAATTACAGAATTTAGTGACATCATCACAAACTGAACATCAAGTGGAAGTAGGAGCTACTGCCACCTGCAGGTGGGAGGTAGCATCATTTACACACAATGCTTTTGACTATTTTTGTAGGAAATTTGCAATAAAGTCATAATTTTGTTGCAGGATCAGTTAAATTTGTGTGAATTTTTATGAAACCATATAAAACTGGAGGAACAGGTTATTTAAATGTCGTAGAAATCTCCATGCAGGATTCAGAAACAATTACAAAAACTGATCATAGTGACAAAACATAAGCAAATAATTAATTTCAAACTGTCAACAATGAGCTTAGAGTTTAGTCTTGTTTCAAACATAACAGAAAAATTCAGCATCGATCCAAAGATCCATCAAACTGAACCTCCAGTTTAAACCCAGTGAAGCCCAGAAATCTTTAAAATCTATAAAAACCGACGAGAATCTGAAAACGAAACTGGATTCATTGTATATTTATTAACCTGCCAGCCTGACGCCTGCAGGGGGCGTTCTCCTTCTACAGCTTTTATTTTCCACTAATTTTGATCCTAATTCAAAGCATTTCTGTTCATCTAGAAAATCACATCGACTCGTTTCCCGGTCAAAGTTCAGCTCAGAAAATATTTTCTGGATGAAATGAGAATAAAAAGATTTTGCCTGCTGCTGTCAGAGCAGCTGAGCCACAAAACATCTGAATAAATTTACATGAATATTTTCATGTAGGAAGATTAAAAAACATGTTTTCCACCAAAACCTCCATAAAACATCTGATCAAAGTGTTTCATAAATGTGAAGCAGCCAGAAGAAAAGAATCGTATGAATGTTTGTTTCTGCAAAACTGCAAGAAAATATCATCAAGAGAAAATTCCAGTTTCTGCTGGTTTGATGGAAATTCTTCAATTCAATGTTAAAATATGGAAGTTAAATGTTGTTTCTTCAGCTTTAATCCGTTAAAATGTTGGAGCCGGAAACGGGTCGGATGAATCCCGGAAACGGCTTTTAGAGATTCCCAAACCGGAAGCGTTTCTCCGTCTGGCTCCGCCTCCGCTGCAATCCGATTGGCCGACGGTTCCTCACCTGTCCAGGTGTGGTCGCTCAGCAGCTGGAGTCCTCGCTGGCGGACTTGGCGGCTGCGGCCGCCACGGCGATCTGGCAGCCGTTGGTGACGTGGCTCATGACCTTGTGCTTGAGTTGCGCCACCTGCTGGCGCAGCATGGCGGCGGTGGAGGCCAGGTCCGAGTTCTGGTTCTTCAGGACCTTCACCTTCTCCTCCAGGCGGGAGATGCGCTCCAGCTTCCGCTTGCGGCACTTGGACGCGGCGATGCGGTTGCGCAGCTTCTTGCGCTCGGCTTTGATTCGCTCCTGCGTCTCCAGGTCGATGGGGGACAGGGACGGCGGGGACGCGGGGTCGCCGGGCGGGTGGGGGACCTCGGGGACGGTCTGAGGGGCGTCCGGGCCGCGGCTCTGCGGCCCGCCGCCGTATGCCATCTGCCCCCCGGCGTAGGGCATCTGCCCCGGGGGGTAGCTGCCCAGGTTGGTGTAGACGGGCACGTCGCCGCCGGACATCAGGTTCCTCTGGTAGGACGCCGGCGGGGACGCGTGTCCGCCGCCCACCAGCTGGTTCTGCTTGTGCAGGTCGGCCAGCGCCTTGACGAAGCCGTCGGCGAAGCCTTCCTGCTCGTTGGTGGCCTGGCCGCGGTACAGGAAGGGGTTGGCGGCGCCGGGGGCGGGGCTTGTGGACACCAGGCCCTGATTGGACTGGATGATCAGGTGCTCCAGGTCCGGGGACGCCAGCTTCAGCAGGTTCATGTCCGCCGCCGCGGACGAGGAGCCGGACGCCATCAGGGCGCTGCTGCCCGGGAGGCCCAGGTTGCCATGGTTACCGCTCCTTCCGGCCGCGGCGTTGGCTCCGCCCAGGAAGTGGTGGCCGCCGCCCATGGACGCCGCCTTCTTGCTCATCAGCATCTTCCCGCCCGGGTAGCGCTCGAACTCGGACATCGGGCCGAAGCCGGAAGCGGCCGGCGCGTCATCGTGGTAGAACGGAGTCTCCATGGCAACCGTCACGGACAGGCAGAGGTCAAAGGGGAAAGCCGCATAATCCGATTATCCTGAACGTCTCAGCAGATCCACTGACGGCTGAGCTGCAGAGGAAACAGAACCAACAGAACCATCATCAACAGAACCATCAGAACCATCAGAACCATCATCAACAGAACCAACAGAACCATCAGAACCAACAGAACCATCACCAACAGAACCATCAGAACCGTCATCAACAGAACCATCAGAACCAACAGAACCATCAGAACCAACAGAACCATCAGAACCATCATCAACAGAACCATCAGAACCGTCAGAACCATCAGAACCATCATGTGACATGCATTTATACTCAGCCTTTACTCTGATGCCCCCAAATAAAATCTACTTTAAAACATTAAACGTTTAGCGTGGAGGTAGCTGATCTGTAAAAAAAAAAAAAAAAAAGATCTTCTAACGGTCTAGTCAAAGTCTGGACCTGAATCTGTAGAAAGATTTTACAGCTGATGTTCTGCCTCAAGCCTGACTGAGATGGAAATGGAAATGACTAAATATAAATGCACTCCACACTTTTCAGAATTTATTTTCCTTTGATTCATGATTATTTTCTGCCACATAAAATAAAACAAACTGAAGTTATAAAAAGGATAAAAAGTCAAAATGTTGCAGTTTGAAACAATTAAATCTCTAATGAATCATTTTGATAATAAAGACAATAAACAGTTTTTACCGCCATTTAAAGGCCATCATTACTGAGCGGCGCCCTCTGGCGGACAGATGAGGCAACAGCAGCTGAACGCTGTCGGTCCGAACCGAACTCTTTCTAAACCACGTTTGTTTCATTTCCTTTCTATTTCAAATAAAGAGTTTTAGTTTGATCATCAGACTTAATACAGAAAACATGATGAATGAACGAGTCACTGAAACCACATTTAAAAATGTTTCTGCATTAAATACAAGAGAAAACGAAATAAATGAATAAATCTGTTGAATGTTTCAGTTTCTGCTGAAACCATGAAACAAAAGCAGCGAAACAAAAAAACCTGGATTCAAGTCAACCTGCGAGGCTCTGCGTTAAAAACCGGATCAAGTTCCAATAAGTTCAGAGGAACCGACACATCATCCGGACTCACCTGCAGAACCTCCGAACCGGTACCGGAGCGGAAAAACCCGGAGAGACGAGAGAGACGAGAGGAGAGGAGGAATAATGTTTGATAATCTGGAAGAGAGAGAGAGAGAGAGCGGGGTGAGTCAGAGTCAGACTGAACACACACACACACACACACACACACACACACACACACACACACACACACACACACACACACACACACACAGTGACTCACCATGATGTTTTCTCCTCATTTACACATTTATAGTGAAGTTCAGGTTAAATGTCAGATTTTCTCTCAGCCTGAAAATTAACTAAAATATCATCAGAATCATTTTAATGGTCCGACTGGTTTATTAAAACCCAGAAGTTCTGCTTTGGTTCTGCTTTGGTTCTGCTTTGGTTCTGCTTTGGTTCTGCTGGGGAGCCGCAGACGGAGCGTTCACGCATTGCAGCGGAAAGTTGAGTGGAGGGAAAAAGTGTGGTGGAAGAAGAAATGACTTCAGCTTTAAGAGACACAGATGAAGTTAGAACCGAACCAGAACCTTCTGGACCAGAACCAGACTGCTGCTCAGTCCAAACGTCTCTTTTCAAATGAATATTTTAGATTTTATTCATGAATCGAGGTCTGAGAGTCTGGAGGAAGAGCAGAGAATCACCTGCTGGTTCTGGTCCACCAGAACTTTTTATCATGGTCCAAACGCTCTGACCAGCCTGTTCCCCTCCTGGCCTGTGGGGGCGCTGCACCAACAACCACTGCAGGAAACGACACTAAAACCTCTGAAAACACCGAGAGCAACTTCCTGTTTCACCAGATGAACCAAGATGGAGGCGTCAGAGTTTAGTGATTTCTCTTTAGTCTTTGGCCGAAGACCAGGAGCCATTTCTGATGCTAGCGCTAGGCTAACATGTTAGCTTTGGTTGGATTTACCCAGAATGCCTTGCACTGAAGTCCATCTTGGAATCAGTGTTCTCCTCAGCCGAACTGTAAACAGGTCAAAGTTCATACCAGAACCGGACTTCCTCGAGAAACGGACTGGAGTTCCTCTTCAGTTCTGGAAACTCCTCTGAACCGGGTCAAACCGGACAGAACCGAGTCAAACCGGGCAGAACCGGGTCAAACCGGACAGAACCGAGTCAAACCGGGCAGAACTGGGTCAAACCGGACAGAACCGGGTCTGGACCAGAATCTGATCCTGTCTGTCACTAAATGATGAGCTTCACAGAATGAAGTCTGAAAACAGACGGTTGTGTTTGTTTCTGTCACAGTAATTACTGTAACTATAGGTGGAGCAGCAGAACACACACACACACACACACACACACACACACACACACACACACACACACACACACACACACACACACACACTGTGGCCTCACAGCCAGTCTAAGGACAGATGACTGAGGAAAGTCAACTAAACTGTTTTGGTATTTTAACAATGTTTTATAAACACACTGAAACATTCATAGAGTTAACATTAGGTCTGGACTTTGACTAGGCCGCTCTACCAAATAAACCTGCTTCTAATCAGTCAGGAGTTGATGACTCCTGAACAGTTAGCTTCTGGGCGATGCTACAGAAACCTTTTTATAATTTAGCATAAATGCTGGACATCATCCGGCTGATTTTAGTTCTTAAGGACGGATGACTCGACAGCCATTTTACGATGCTAGCTACGTTAGCTTTATAAAGCAGTTAATCAGAAATTGGAGCATCAGATAAAAATTCATTTAGTTATTTTATAGCATATTTACTAATAGTTTAAAAAAACAGATTTGATTTTATAATGAAAATGATTTCGATCATTTCTTACTGCAGGTTTTCTTCTAGGTTTGTTCTGGATTTAGGCTCCACTGGCTTCCCCGTCCCTTAGCATGATGCCACCACCCTGCTGGGAATGCTCCACTTTTTGCATTTAAGAAAAATTTTTCTTTCTTTCATCAAACTAATTTCTGCAGACTTTCTCCACCTGAGCTGCGGCTCTCTGCAGCTCCTTCAGACTCAAAATGAGCTCATTTTGCTTTCAGTTTATTTCAGTTTCAACTTTAATTGCATTAAAATCAGAATTTCTGATTTATTTTTCCTCTAAGCCTCATTTTTCCATCTTCGTTATTAGAGCCGTTTCCAGGAGTGAAGATGCTTCGGATTTCTGACCGCTTGGTTTTCCTCTAACATCTGGAAGTCGTTAGCGGCGCTGACATCACTGCAGCCAGCAGGCGCTGACGTCGAGCGGTCGGGACACCAGGAGAGTTCAGGCTTCGCTTCGGCAACGACGTCAAAGAGCAAACATCCAAACACACAGAGGTTTCCATCTGGAGGACGAGCAGAACGCTGCAAAACGCTGCAGAACGCTGCAAAACGCTGCAGAACGCTGGAGGGGAACCAGGAGGGAAAACCGAATGCTGCTCAGATGAAGATGAGGATATGAGGATGAAGATGAGGATGAAGATATGAGGATGAAGAGGAGGATGAAGATGAAGATGAGGAGCTTCCTCAGCCTGCTTGGATCCAGTTTGTTGTGAAAACCCGTCAGTCGAGTCGAGTTCTGCTATTTTCTCCCCAAATCTACAAACATTTCATTAAAACCCAGAAAGTTCTGAACATGTTTCTATTTTCTGCTTCTAAATAATTTAACTTAAAATAATTTATTCATTCCAAAAAGAAGCCAAATAAAATATCAGTTTCTCTCAGAGTTGTTGAGATCTCCAGTAGCAGTCAGTCTTGCAAAGAATCTGAAGAGGCCTCTGACTGAAGGCTAACGCTGACATGCTAGCAGCTTAGCATCCAGCCATCTGCTGCTAATCCAGCTCCTTTTTTTGCTGCTCCTGTTTACATCCTGTTGGTTCAGAGATGCTGGAGTCGGGATACAATGGCGAAGATTTCCTCCTGCTCTACATCCATGACCCTTCTGCTCTGGGATTTGGGGTCAAAGTTCAAGTATTAATCTAGATTTTTAGAGGCTAAACTAGCCGCTCCTAGTTGTACAAAAAAACCTCGTTGCCACGGTTACGCGTCATAAAACTGTCTGAAGTAGACAAAAAAAAGAGAAAACCTATTTCCATGGGCTCAGAACCAGAACCAGAACCTTCATAATGAAAACCAGACGATGTTAAAACAGATTCACATCAAAATAAACTTTTTATCTCTTTGTTGTTTTTCTTACATTTTATCAAAGATCAAAATATCATAAATCAACTTGAAGCAAATTTTTTGATTGTAATTCAGTCACAGGTTCGATTCCTGGCCTGGCGACCTTTGACCTTCCCTCATCACCCACATTCCTGTCAATTAAGTATCAAATAAGGGTCACTTAAAAAAACTCAAAGATCATTGTGAATTATGAGCTGAATGTATTTTTACGTTAGTTGGGTAAAAATTAATCCATATTTTGCTTCTCACTCCAGAAACAAGAAACAAATATGATTTAGTTGTGATTTATGATCATTTTTGACTTTATTCAGGTTTACACTCAGAAACACAAACTATTTATTTCTGAAAAATACAAACACAAAAAACTGTTAAATTCAATCATTTTATAATCAGTTTGTTTAATAATTTTTTTAAATTCCACAAAAACTTAAAGCTGCTTCAGTGTTTATTCGCCAAAACATAAAAAAGAATAAAGAAAATAAACTTTCTGTAGCTCTGGTGCCCCCTGCTGTTCACTCTGCGTCATCACAGCTGCTCAGTAAAAACCAGCAGGATTTATTTACAGCAAAAATAATTTACAGATTTAATATCTACAAACATTTCAACTTTGACGGTTGTTGAATTTAAGCTGCTTTAAAAGAACAGCAGAAAAACGAGTCCAAGTCCTAGTCCAAGTCCTCCAGCTGCCAGACATTTAAAACATCAGAACATGTCTCAGAATCAGAACCGCTTAAAATGTTGACTGAACATTTCAGAAAACATTTAAAGTTTTTCATATTCAGGATGGTTTCAAATGTCATTTAGAAATGTAATTGGAAGGAAACTAGCATATATGCTACATACTACCTTGGAGGCTACATACTAGCATATATGCTACATACTAGCTCGGAGGCTACATACTAGCATATATGCTACATACTAGCTTGGAGGCTACATACTAGCATATATGCTACATACTAGCTTGCAAGCTACATACGGTGTGACGTTAGCTGCCCTCATTTTCAGATTTCAGTGATAAATTTGACTGTTTGTTATTTTTTCCTGATTCTCTCACTTGTTGTTTCTCCCAGTAACATTTTGTTGTTTTCATTCCTAGTTTAGTGATTCTGTTTCCTCTCTCCTGTCGCCACATGCTTGGACAGTAATGTTGGTGATTGTTGTCATCCTGTGACAAACTGCAGGGGTTTTATTTTGAAGTTCTGATGTTTGGATCAGATTTGATTCACCTGATTCAGTCTTCATGTTTGGCTCATTGGGTCGTCCAGATGTACTCTGAAACACAGATGAAGGGTTTCTGGGCCGCCTGGTTCTGACCAAACACCTCAGCCATGGTCTGGGGGTGGTAGTTGCTTGGCCTCTCCGCCGGCCTCAGCCCCGGCCCTGACTCCGGCCCCGGCGCCGGCAGGTTGTACGTCAGGTTGGGGAACACGGTGGAGGCGGCGCGGGGGCTCTGCAGGGCCGGGTTGTTCCAGTAGAGGGGCGGAGCCGGTGGAATCAGAGCCATGTCTTCCTGGTCGGTGTTGTTGTTGTTCAGCGGCTCTGCAGGTTTGAGGATCAGCTCTGGGACGGCCATGTCGTCCTCGCCATGGCAACCCAGGCCTGACTGAAGGTAAGGGTCAACGCTCTTGACCTGGGAGACATCGAGACGTCTTCATCACTTCACAGCAAAACTAGATCATTCATTTTAATGTTTTATTTTCAGTATTTAACATGTAGACAGAAATATTCTGAGATGTTTACAGTAGATTCATTTTGCAAAGTTATTTAAAAAATGATGAATGTTCCGTATTTTATGGAACTTTCAGTCTGAACTCACAGGCGAAGTGAACCAGTCGGCCATGTTGGGCTTCGGGATCTCAGGGTA